CTTTGAAGAAAGAAATTGAAGATACCAGAAAATGGAAAGATCTCCCATGCTCTTGGATAGGTAGGATTGGTATTTTTAAAAAAAAAAAAAAATCTAGTAAACTAAAAAAAAGGAAGCCATTCATGAGTAAGAAAAAAATCTTTTACACACATTTTTTTGATTTTCGTTTCATTTTCCTTTTATCTGTTTTAAAAATCTCTATTAATTTAAAATGCACAATTTTCCTTTAAAAATCACTTACTTCTCAGTTATTTTTTTATTCATTCTGAAAGTATTTTAAGACATTAACGTTCTTATTAAACTCCATGCCTTGGTTGTGTTTCTACTTTATTGACAAATACATTACACAGGCTCCCATGGGGCATTGGAGAAGTAAATGGCCAAGGGACAGTTCTCTGCATCTCAAAGACAGGGCCACTTCTTTGTCCTCCAGCAGCTGGTGAGGAGCAGGGCTTGGAGAGTCCCAGCCCTGAGTCCTGTGCTAATTCAACAATGTTACACCTTGCCCTGCTTGTACTTTAAGCAGTAGCTCTCAACTTTCCCAACACTGTGACTATTTAATACAGATCCTCATGTTGTGCTGATCCCCAAACACAAAATCATTTTTGTTGCTACATCATAACTGTAATGTTGCAACTGTTATGAATCATAATGGAAATTTATTTTTGGATAGAGAGGAGTGCCAAAATGTCAGAACCCACAGATTGATAGCCTCTACTGTAAGGATTGATGGGAGAAATGAAGGATTCAGGACCATGGATTTTGCTGGCACTCCACAGTCTGTCAAGCACAGGAGCAAGACACTTCTGGCTGTTTTCAGTCCCTTCTCCTGCCTTTCCCAGCCTGACCCTCAGCAGCAGGCCCTCCCTCAAAGGTGACTAATAGATTCACCTGTCTGTAAACACCTTGAGCACAAGGGACTCAATTTTCCTATCATTGTTTGTGAACACTTTGGAATAACAAAAGCAGCAATTTATTGTCACGTATAATATTGATTCCATACATTAACATAAACTATTTGCTTTAGAATTTAAATTCTGAATTGAAAATATAAAAATACTTACATGGTCTGAGTTGTATTTACTGTGTAGCTTCTGACATTTGTACTTTCTTTGCAAGGCTTCTTGGGGAAATAAAATAACTCATAAACTTTTCTTTGACCTGTAGATGTGATTACCTTTCAGTCGCTGACTTTATCAGGAATTCATCTCAATGCACAGCCGAACAGAGGCCATCAATGTCCTGTGTTAAATGTTAGTGGTGAAGTGCCTGCAGGTCAGTCTGGATGCTCACACTGAATTGAGAGGCTACATTCTTGGACGAATCACTTCTGTGTGTGTCTGTGTGTGCCTGTGGGTGCCTATGTCTGTGTGTATGTGGATGGGGTTGGGAATGCCTACTATTTGGGCTTATGTGGATTTGTCTACATGTGTGTAAGAATGGAGGTAAGACGTCAACCTCTTTCTCCTGTGTTTGAGAAAGCCCACGCCTGCCAGGGACTTCTGGTGCATGAAAGGGTTGGTCAACAGGGAACAGGTGTGAACATGGGATAAAGACTAGAACATTGCCTTCTGGCGCACCTGGCCATGATGCACAGTTAAAGACTTGCAGCAGATGGACGTACCCAAACACAAACACAGAAACTATGCAGAGAAACTCGTGCACACAAAACTCAATATATACGAATACATTGAAATTTAAACACAGAAATCCACGTTTGGAAGTAACTACCACGGGATTCAGAGTTCTGCAGAATACTAAGCAGAATAAGAAACACATTGACCATGAGCTGACAGCCATTTAATAATTTCCACATTTGCTTTGTGTGGCTTGCACTACGTGTGCCTATTTAGAGAGTAAATCTTCTAGGAAAAGTAATCCTAAACCGTTTCTTCTATGAACAAGGTTTAATGACACCATGGTTTGAAGAAGTCAGATAGGCTACTCTACCACCATCTCGGTGTTGCTCCCTCAGTCTGGATCACAAAGCTTCCTTTCTGATCCTCTGTCCCTCTGTTCCTGTAAGCTAGCACCAAGGTTCAGGCTCTCTCAGATGCATACCTTTTGTGGGAGACTGGAGGAGTGGAAACAGAACCTTCACCTTTCTAGGCTCCACTGCGGGTTCAGGCAGATGGAAAGAAGGGCCCGTGGCGAACTTGAGCGCACTCACAAGGCATCAAGCCTGGAATCTCAGCTCTATTTAACCCATTGCTCCAGCGAAGCAGGTGGGCCGCATTCATTCCCTTCCCAGAGTCACACCTGTCATCTCTGCAAGCTCTGCCCTGGATGCAGAAACGCCCCTGAAACACTCTACCTCAGGTGAACAGACCATGCCTAAAATTGGCAAGAAAGCTTGGCCCACCTGGGTTCCTACTGCAATTTGTGGACGTGGGTGGGACTTCACCCTCAACTAAAACCTCACTCCTGGTGAATCCTTTCTCTAGATTCCAGTATCTCAATCAACACTGTGTGTGTGGCACTTTTCCTTAGCATATGGGTCACCAAGAGCTTGGGAATCAACTGAACAACTCTAATTTGTTTCTGCTGTTGTAATTCATTAAGTAATTCATAGAGAATGAGCATGACATATGTTGAGAGTTTAATTCAAATTATTTGTACTTAACAACCTCTAACTGTAAAAGTTAGTTCATAAAACTGCATTTCTGGCTTGGTCAGATGTAAACAGAATAAGGGATGCTGTAAAGATTTGCAGACGCTGATTTTAATGTTTGCACTCGAAAGGCGTTGTCAGCATGGCACAAACTACAGTCAGCTGAGAGAAGAAACCACAGATGAGGAATTGTGTCCATCAGATGGGCCTGTGGGCATGACTGTGCGTTTCTTCTTAATTTGTGACTGATGTGTAAGGGCCCTGCCCACGGTGGGTGCCACCCCAAACAGGAGGTCCTGGGCTCCATGACTAAGGCTGAGCCCACATGGACAGCAGGACAGTGAGCAGTGTAGCCTTATGCTCTCTGCTCAGTTCCTCTCTAGAGTTCCTGCCTGGGCTTCACTTCATGATGAGCCAAGAGAACCTTCAGGGATCATATTAAACCAGGGTGTGTGCCTCTTGTAATGATGGTGGTCCCCATAGCTCAGTTGGTATCAATCAGGATGTTTTTTGTTGCTAGTTTAATATTTGGTACCTGGGTGCTGATCAGGGCACCAACTCCAGGACAGACTATATGTAGAGCATGGGGTAGCTTCTGCGTCCCTTGCCTCTTTCTTCCACACCCTCTCCCTGAAAATGATCTTCCCAACCTCTGAACTGAGTGAAAACCTGGTTCGCTAGGCTAAAGATAAATGCTGCAACACTGAAGAAGAACCTTGAGTGACTGTCCAGGTAGCAAGGTGTCTCTGTCAATTCTAGAGTTTTGGAGTTGTTAAAATGCACTTCCTGCTAACTTAGGCATTATTATATCCTTCTGGGGTCTTTGATGGAGTTGAAGAATAGATAGTTATAGTTTTCCTTAGATATGCTAAAAGATAAAGTAGATATAAGTATTGTAACTAAAATTCTTGCTTGATACCTGTTTTACTATATGTAAATTTACTATGTTAAAGTTAAAACTTTCCTTTCTACTTAGAAAGTGGGAAGTGATATGGGATTCCCCTATGTACACTGTGAATGTGTTTGCTTAGTGAAGAAAGCTGCTTTCTTCCTATAGCAGGGAACAGTAGGGCTAGGTGGGGAAATTAAGCTGAAAGCTGGGAGAAAGTAGGCAGAGTCAAGGAGACACAATAGATCTATCACATGAGACAGAAGCTGGACAGAAGCATATCAGTAGGCCACCACAACACGCCAATACACAGAGTAATAGAAATGGGTTAATTTCAGACATAAGAGTTAGTCAGGAATATGCCTCAACTATGGCCAAGCAATGTTGTAATTAATAAACTTTCTGTATGATTTTTTTCCAATCTGGGTGGCCAGGAACAAACGAGCAGCCTCTGCCTACATCACCCCTCACTTTCATGAACTGCAAAAAAAATTGTGGATTATGAGTTACTTTTTATATTGCTGACCTCATCAGTGAATTTTTTGATAATAATATAATGTTAACCCATTGGTTCCTTCACATTGTGTTGATTAGTTTTATTATTTAGAGGTTTAAGTTTTCCATTGATTCTTCTAAATCTTCATTTTATATATGAGCTTGTTTCTTAGGGGGAAGCAAGGAAAGATGGGAGGTTACAGAGGGTCTATGATGTGAGGAAAGATCCTCCATCCAGGCACGAGGACTCTAGTAATGATGCACACTGAGTGGGAGTCTGAAGCAGTTTCATTCCCATCAGACAAAGCTTGTCTCCACGAACCTCAAAGTTTCTCTGGAATCAGGAGATCCAGCACCACCAAAAAGCAGGCTTCATTAATATCAGGCCTGTGCTACAATGACAGAAGAAGGGATCTGTAATTGAGGCTACTTGCAGGGTCACTGAATTTCTGGTGGGAATAAGTAGAAGAGACACATTCAATGTATGACTGTGTGACAGCAAAGAATCTGCCATGACTTCAGGACAACTCAGGTGCAGGAGGGACGGATAGGAACCCTCTTTGATAGACCCATGCTCATTGGATACATTTCTGTTGTGGTAAAATTTCATAACCATGGGGTCATAAGAAGAAACATATCTGGCTCATTTATGGAAGGATGAGAGCCCATGGAGGTGGGACAGTGGAAAGAAAGAAGCTGGAAGATTGAAGGCAAAAGCAGTAGCCTTGAGTGTCACATCCCCAACGTCAAGTAGGAAGTAGGGAGAACAGAGAATAGCTTGCCCATCTCAAGACACACTCAGGACAGCCTTCTGCCACTAAGGCTCTACAATATAAAGTTCCTCAAACTGTACCATCAACTGCACTTCAGGGTCCATGTGTACAAATGACCATCCATATGAAATATTTTTTCTTTTTTTCTTTTTTTCTTTTTTTATTGATTTTTATTGAGCTCTACATTTTCCTTTGCTCCCCTTCCTACCTCTCCCCTCCCCTTAAATCCTCTCCCATGGTCCTCATGCTCCCAATTTACTCAGGTAGTTTTTCCATTTTACATATCCAACACAGTTCCCCATTCCCTTCTCCCACTTCCCACCAACTTCCACAGACCCCACCCCAATTCACTCCTCAGAAAGGCCTCCCACGGGGAGTCTGGCATAACAAGTTGAGGCTCAACCCCTGATTCAGGGTTGAGCAAAGCATCCGCCATAGGGAAAGGGCTCCAAAAATTAGTTCATGCACTAGGGATAGAGTCTAGTCCCACTCCCGATGGCCGCACAAAGTATCCAAGGCACACAACTGTCCACCACAATCAGAGGGACTACTTTGGTCCTCTGTAGGTTCTATAGATTATCAGTCCAGAGTCAGTGAGTTCCCACTAGCTCGGGTGAACTGTCTCTGTGGGTTTCTCTACCATAAACCTCACCCCTTTGCTCATACAATCCCTCTTCCCTCTCTTCAGCTGGACTCTGAGAGCTCAACCCAGTGCTTACAGGGTGAAGATTTTCAGAGTAGAAATTGGTCAAAATTCAATGTCAGATCTGTTGACAGCTCAAGAGAATGGCTGGATTTTGTGCTTAGGGATTCGTTTGTTTTGTGCGCGGGGATTGGATGGATTTCCTGTGCAGAGACTGGTTAGTTTTTGTGCTGAGTTTGTCAGAATAAGAATGCATTCTCTACGTCTGGTTTCTGGTCTAAAGCATGTTTCATTCACTGACCCCTTTTAACATTTTCAATCTAATATCAGGGTCACTGAAGGGGCTCTGATCTCAGGTTCGGCTCTCCTCTTTGGCTGTGATTTCAGGGACAGCGGGGTTTCTTTGGCTCTGCTAAGAGAGTGCTTCTTTGGCTGTACCTTTGACTCTACCCTACCCAGAGCAAGTTCATCAAAACATTCCCGTGAATGCCTGTACAGCACTGTGGTCATACTCTTCTGCTCAATTTCACTTCCTCCACTCCATCACTGTGACGAATATTGGTTCATTTATAAATGCTCACCCTCTTCTTGCTAATATCCACAGTCAAAAACTTCATTTTTTGTTTGTGGAATAGCCTTCTTGTCTATGATAAAATCTCTAGATGTAGCTACACTGTGCATAGCAGAAGAGTTCAAGATCACTGTGTCTAAGTATGGACTCCACCCTAGAATCTGAACGTGTGCTGCTACACTCTTGTTCAGTTTCTTTATGTAAATTATCCCCCAGATTTTTCCTGTATCTCAGGGCCTGAAAAGGCATCATTTTGTTATTTGGCATATCTCAGATTTCAAGACAGAAAATTCATAGCTATAATCTTCCATTCTAAAACTACACGAATTTTTTTCTAGCATTGCGTGTCCTAAAATTTCCCACAAAATACAGTGGCTTAAGTTGAGCTCAACATCATGGGCAGCCAATGGAAGAGGACAGGTTTGGAAAGGATGTCAGGATCGTAACATCTCTAGGTTCTGGTTCATGTGGGAGTTGATGCTTGCCTGCGACCACCCACATATGCACAGGTGGGTCCTTCAGAAACAACACAGTCTTCTGTCTCATAGCACTTCTGAAGCACACATCCTGTATTCCTTGAAACATAGCAACAGAGTTCAATTTTTTTCACGTCATTGACACACAGACGTGATGCATGTCTGTGACCTACCCAAACATGCACAGTTGGCTGCCAAGATCCTTCAAGAACAACACAGTTCTCTGACTCACATTCTATCTGAAGTAAACATCCATCATTCTATAGAACACACTTAAGTTACATAGGACATTTTTTTTTTCAAATCAATGATACACAATGACTTATGTGGTCATGGAGTATGTTCCAAGAAAAGATCTGGAGATGTTCCTCATGAAGATAGGCAATCTAAAGAAGGAGGAGGCTAGACCAACCATCCATCAGGTTATGTCAGCAGTGCACTTTCTCAAAAAGACACATTGCACATCATGATATCCGAGAATATCATCCAGCATGGAACTGGTAAGGTCAAGCTTAGTGATTTTGTTATGGCCACTCGGCTTGAACAGGGAAAGACGTTGGAGGAGGTTTGTGGCTCCTTACTCTATATGGTCCAAGAGAAATTGGCAACAAAATCCTACGATGGTTTGACAGGTGATAAGTGGAGCTTGGGCATCATGCTACATGGCATGGACATTGGCCACTTTACACGTGTAGAAACCACCCTTGATGGCATGCACAGGATCATCACCACTACACTGTGTCCCATTCATTACCATTTGTCAAAACTTTGTCACACTATCATTGCATCATTATTCATGGTCCACATCTGGTAAAGGCTAATAATAAGTCAACTTGTGCAACAACATTGGCTGTGCCACGTTCAGCAACGTGTGCCACATAACAATAAGGAAATCATTCCCAGAGTCGTACAGCATATGTACAACATTGGCTATACCTGTGAAAAGATTGGGTCATTTCTAAGACACAGGCAAAGACTAAATAATAAACTAACAGCAACAATCAATACACTCAAATACCAATTGAGCTCTGAGGACAGCCATCAGCATGACAAGTCCTGATTAAATATGATTCCTAAATGTCCTCTTAGCCTTCCTCTACCCGTGAAGAAAAGAGCTAGTGAGCCAGCATTTCATCAGTGCAGAAGCTGGGAAGATTCACTTTCAGAAAGAGGGTATGGAACAAAGAAGCAAGGGATGCAGGAGCAACACCATGCTCCATAGAACTTCTCCCTGGAGGAATCACCCTGTCCACAATTCAGGTGACCAAATAATAAACTAACTGCAACTATCAATATTCTGAATTACCAACTGAACATTGGCAACAGTCATCAGCATCATTAGACACACTGGTTAAATATGATCCACACAGATCCCTTTATCATCACTCTCCCCTTGAATAGGAGAGCAAATGAATCAGCAAAGAAGTTGGGAAGCGTCACTTTCAGGAAGACTGTGTAAAGAAAGAGGCAAGGGTTGCAGAAGCCACACCTTGCTCTACAGCTACTCCAAGCTGCAGGTGTGCCTTGTCTAGCACCCATGTGACTAAATAATAAACTAATAACAGCAATAATATTCTCAACTATCAATTCAGCTAATTTGCCAGCCATAAGCAAGATATATCCAGATTAAATATGATCCCTATACGTCCTCTTAGGACCCCTCTCTCCTTGAAGAAGAGAGCTAGTGAACCAGGTTTTCACTCAGTCTAGAGGTTGGGAAGATCACTTTCAGGAAGAGGGTGTGGAGGGAAGAAGCAAGGGATGCAGAAGCTGCCCCATGCTTCACATAGAGTCTGTCCTCGAGTTGATGCCCTGATCAGCACCCAGGCACCAAATATTAAACAAGCCACAAAAAATATCCTGATTGACAACAACTGAACTATAGGGACAGTCATCTGCTCAATGAGACCCCCTGGTTAAATAGGGCCTGTTTGGGTTCTATTAGCCTCCATCTCCCCTTGAAGAAGAGATCTAATGAATCAGCTCTCCAATAGCATAGATCACTTTCAGGAAGAGGATGTGGAAAAAAAGAGGTAAGAGATGCAGAAGCTACACCATGTTCCACAGATTGTACCACCTGAACAGGTGATACCCTGTTCAGTATCCAGGTGACCAAACTATAAACAACAATCAATATTCTGAAATACCAATTGAGCAATATGGTCAGCCATCATTACAAGAGGCAGCCAGCTTAAATAGGGTCCATGGAAGCCCTCCTGGTCTCCGTCTCCCTATGAAGAAGAGCTGTACTTCAGTGAGAGACACTATCATAAGAAGGTAATAGAACAATAATCAACGTGTGTCCATAGTGCACTTTCTCCAACAAAGATGCACTGCACACACCATGACATTAATATAGAAAATATCCTTCTTGATGGAGTGGGTAAGGTCAAGCTTTGTGAATTTAGAATTGCAACTCAATTGCGGAGGTGCAGATGTTGGAGGAGGTCTGTGGCTTTTTGCTCTATTGGGCCTCACATATCTTAACAAGGAAACTGTATGACAGATTGACAGGGGATAAGTGGAGCTTGCACATCATCCTATGTGTCGTGCTCCCTGGCCACTTTACATATGTGTAAACACCCTTGATGGTATGTACAAGATCATCACCACTACAGAGTGTTCCATTCCCTACCATTTGTCAAATCCCTATCACATTATGGTTGCACATGGAATGACATCCTGTTGACAAATTCATGAGTGCTCTACTTGTTATCAAGTCACCAGGACACTCCTTCCATCACCATGGCAGTCTGAAACTCACTCTTTGATTTCAGGACTTGCTCACCACCTACCTGAGCCCTTGAGTAATACTATGTAAAACGTACCTCTGAAGTCTACAATACTGATCCTCAGACTGTGACTAACATCAGGCAATGCTAAGTAGGTGTCTCTTCCTAACCTGTGTTACTGCCCCCAATGCACTGCTAATTTTCAGCCATGCTAAATTCCCCACCACCAACTAGAAGGGTATGCAGGCAATAAAACAGTGAGAGGCTAGGTAAGGGTTGATGCTTAGCATTGTATGCATGCCTGCATCTGCACAGGAATTGCAATAATGTCTTCATACCTAGAGGATTGTATTTGGAAGGAGCGTGTATGTCAGGTAAGTACTAAATGTATATGTGGATTGTGGGTCATAGGTGTCCATCAGGACCTGACACGTAGTACTTTGGGGTATGTGGCAGATCTAGCACAGCACAGCCTGGTGCCTTACACTCATTGTGAAGAAGGAGGAGGGTGTTGGTTCTGCCAGGGTTGCATCCAGCAATGGGTGTGGAGCAGGGCTGGGGAATGTGCAGCTCTAGGATTTGGGGGCTCCAGAAGCAGCAACATGGAGACTCACCAGCTCCAGAAAGTCCTATACATTTCCTTTCTTCAGCCTCCTCCTCCTCCTGGGCTTCGGGAAAAGTTGACAGTCAGACATGTGCACGACCCCAGCTTTGGAAAGTTATCACTCTGCTTCTGTCCCACATCCTTAAGCAGTGATCTTGGGGGTTGCGTGGCTGTAAAGAGCGGTGCACAGAGCACATCTGCCTGTCTGCCTGGACACCACTGACACTGCTAGGCGGTAAACCACCATCTTGGCTTGGAACAGGAATTTGTTCTCTCCTGGGGTGAGTCAGAGGACAGGCTCTCTCTCGATGTCCTGAGGAGTTGTCTCCTCAAGCCGTTCTCCAGTCTCTCTATTTGTTGTGTGGTGGCTGCAGAGCTCACATGAGAACAGTTAGTGTTCTCTGGGTTGTTTCCGATCTTCCTCCTTATGAGCAGAAACTTGTGTAGGCCGCTTCTGCATCTATTGCATGAACATCATAGAGTTTGGATCTGGGGCAGGTGTAACATTTGAGATTGTGTTGAGTTTTTTAATGGGTTTGCTATTGACTGCTTTTGCATAGTTATCCTGCAGCCCTTGGAGGGCAGACCATTTTCACTGCCTTGCTTTCCCTGGATGCCACTGAGAAAATTAGCTGACATAATGTGGGTAGGTCCGTCACAACAGTGACGGGTGCTGAGAAACAGGGGTGTCTGAGAGATTATACTCCTTTGTCTTTTTCTAGACATCCTAAACTATTCTGAATGTCAATTAGAATACATTCTCTTGGAATTCTACATCAGTATTTCAGTATTTGTTCATTGTTTCTCCAAGACAAATGACATATTATACAAGTGGAGGACCTCAAGTACACCACGTTATTGATGGCCTGGAAAAGGGTCCCCTGGACACTGCCCTTCACAGGCAATGCTGTCCCAATACTTTGCAAAGAGGCTCATTAGTTCCCACACGTTCTGCTGGGGCAATTTTTCTATCTGCTCAAGCAGGTTTCCTGGGGCGTCTGTCATAAAAGAGAGGCATAGGTCACCTTTCTGCACTGTCAAAACATGCACAGCATCGAAGTGGAACAAGGACTCCACAGTAGAACGTCCGCCGGGTGAGTTCCATACGTTGATCCTCCTGTCACCCCCAGATTTTGCAGATAATTGAGGGGGGGTCTGTGATTGAATACTGCAACAGAATTCATTTGATTGCCCTACCCAGGATGTCCTCCTGAACCTGTGAGGACCTTCTGAATTGGAGAGCTCAAGAAAGGGCCTACTCGTTTTCCAGCAAAAAGAGTGTTCTCCTCCATCACTGGCTCTAGTACTGAGTGTGCACATCCTCCGGTCAGGAATTCCCCAGGTGTGTCTTTTAGGATGTGATCAGGCACCTACAAGAGAAGGAATATTAGAGACCAATGAGAGAGCTGTCTAAGATTCCATATGCCCAAAGCACAAGAAATCTGCCCTAGGAGGATAATGGCAGGTTCACTTTTAATGCAGTTCAGGGACTAATAAGACACGTATAATAATGCCCATTGTCTTCCAATGTACCCTTCCCTAGGCCAACCTCATTATGGTCTCTTTAGGGACCTCTAACTGCAGGAAGTGATATCTCATCGCTGCACTGATATTTTGCAGGAAGGAGGGTTTGAGAACAAAGAATTAATTACAGCATCCAAACATCATGCCTAAACATGGGCATTCTGCTTGCTGCACCTTATCTCACTTACAATTGCCTACATCAGACAGGACACATCCTTGGTGAAAATAAGCATCCACAATAGAACAAGTCCTAAAGAGCCTGCAGATATGAGAAGAGAAAGGACAGAGACTAGAGATCTGGAGGTGACCTATGAGACCACAAAGGATCCAACATTACCAATATGGTCATCATAGCTCAGTCAATAGGTCACTGGGCAAACATTAATCAGTTTCCAAATCAAATATACTTTGTTCAAAATAACATCTCAAAGAATCAGCTTTGTCCTCTGCACGATGGATACCTGAGGACAGCTTTGGGGATGATGTGTGTTCAGTTCCTGCTACAAATAGCTGGTACTGAGTGCACCTGTTCCTGTCCATCCCGCAGAGCAGCAGTGGAGGATGGAAGAGTTGGGTGTGGAGTCCTAGTTTTTAGCTGACTTCTATTCTCCCAGGTAAAAGGCAACATGGCTCCCTGAGTAGAAGGGACACACAAAGTCACCATCAGACCCAAGGCAATTCTCAGTATAAACAGAAATATACCTCACATCTCTTTATACTGAGACCATCTCCTGGGTCTGGAGCCAGTGATTCTCTTGGGCTGTTTCTCCTGGGAATCACTGACCTGGACATAGTGCCCAAGTCTCCTTTCCCAGGCCTTAGCTTCAGTAAAGTACATTAGGACTGAAACATCCCACTGATGTATAGCGATTATGACCACATAAGAGCATCAGTGTCTCACAACTGCTTTTACTTGCAAGGCTGTCTGCATCCTTGTGCTCAATGGTCTTCAGCCAATTACAGACTAAGTAGCTGGCCTGTAGCAGAGTGATTGTCCTCCCATACAGGTGTAAGAAGATATTCACCCTCTTCTCCACATTCTTTTCCTCCATAATAGTTTGGGACAAGAGGGCCAGAGGACAGAGATGCATTGCTTGTCATAACTTATCCCAAAAATCCCTCCGAGTCCATTCGTCTGTTGTCTCTCACTACGCCTCTGCATCATGAGCCCAATAACCACCTTCCTGGGAATTGAAAAGGGCAGCATTGAAAAGGGCTTTTGCAGCCATATGCTTATTTGTCCATAGACCAGTGTCAAGGATAAACAGAGAACATAAACCTCTCTCATACAACAGGATTCAATTTAGTAGTTTCAGTGATACCTTCAGCATTTGAGACCCACACTGGAGTCCTGGCATTCACTCCTTTCTGAGTGTCCACTCTATATTGCAGAGAGCAGAAGCCTACTTGGAGAATGTCCATGACAACCCCATAGCCAACTTTGACAGGAGACCTCCTAAACAAACAACCGGGCGGGAACCCCAGCTCTATAGTCAACACTCTCTCTAAGCCTGATCATTGATGTATGTGAGGTATGAATAACATAGTTCCCAGACTGCTGACTGACTCATGTATCCACTGTGTCCAGGACAGGCAAGCATTACCCACCTTCCAAAGTGAGACAACCTCCCAGCATCCCATCCACACTTTCACCCATTTCTGTTTACCTTGCAGTCACTGTCCTGTCAAGAGACAAGTACGGTTCTGGTAAACATCACAGAGTAACTGGTCCTTTCTCCAACATCTAGACTGAACCAGAATGCAGCGGGACTGTGTCTCCTGTGTTGAGAGTGACAAAGGGATAAAGGCAGGATGCAAACACAACAGCAGACCTGGGAGGAAGACGGTGGAGGGGATTCACCTCTCCCCCAAAGGGACAGAACTTTCCTTTGGACTTGACCTTGATAGGACAGAAAGATGAATGAGCATTGCTCTTCTAGGTCCATGAAGACTGGTCCATAGGTTCTTCTAATTCACGGACAGCTTTTGTGGGGTTTTACACAAGGCTCCACTCTTAGAACGATGCTAGGGAAGGCCATAAGTGGGATATATATCGTGTTTACTATGTGTTCCTCTGGAGAAGCCTACGGTAGAGGTTTTAACTCTTTTTGTGCTGGATATCTCTGTAGTAAAGCACACTGCCATCTGGACTCCCTGTAGGGCCCCCAGATCTGCTGTCTCAGTCAGACCACAAAAATACCCACTTCAGGTCTCAACCTGCAGAGAGGCTTATCCCTTAAAAAGATCCTTACATCATACTCAGGACTCCTGGACAAGAGACCTCTGCTGAGGTGAATCTGGCCTGCCACCTCCACACAGAGGTGTGAGTTGCTGTGAAGATCCTGGTAAGTGGTAGGACACATGACTACAGCAAAATAACAGAAATCAACATCTTCAAAGTGCTGGATCAGTCAAACATCATCTAGCTGTGCCACATCATCAATAATAGACATAATAGAGACCATTAATACATAATGAAGTATGCAACAGAGGGAGATCTGGGAGGCCACATTAGGAAAGGAGGCTGTCTGTAGGAGGAGCAGGCCCAACACATCTTCACTCAGATGGTGTGTGCAGTTCACTACTGTCATGAGAATAGCATTATACATAGAGTCATGGAGAATCAGAAAGGCTTATCACTTAAATAGGATCCCTAAATCATACTCAGGACTCTTGGAAAAGAGACCCTTGCTGAGGTAAAGCCAGCCTGCCCCCTCCATACAAAGGTGAAAGTTGCTGTTAAGATCCTGGGAAATAGTAAGAAGAATAACTGCAAAAATGTGACAAAACTCAACATCTTCAAAGTGCTGGACCAGTCAAACATCATCTAGCTGTTCCGCATCATCAGTACCAAAGAGAACACCTATATGGTGATGGAGCATGCTGTTCACGGAGATCTAGTGAGCCACACAGAGAAAGTGGGCTGTCTGCAGGAGGAGCAGGCCCAACACATCTTCACTCAGATGGTGTGCACAGTTCACTACAGTCATGAGAACAGCATTGCACACAAGGTCATGAAGGATCTGTGAGGATCTCCTCTTCAGGGGCACTGCTTTTTGGGTCCATCTGCATTGTCACAGCCTCTATTTTCTTGCTCAGAAGTTTCTTCATAATTTCCACACCGACTGGACAAAATCAGATGAGAATAAAGAGAATTGGGTCAATGGGTAACGTTTATGACTTTCAAATACTACGTGGAAAAAGGACAGACTTGTGAAGCAAACTTACAATAAACTTTTGGGTCACAGAAAAATAAGAATAAACTAAAATCCAAATAAGTACCTGGGAAACATTCTGAAGATGACAACAGAATGTAAGGAAATGGACAACAATGAACACACAGAGACGTCAAAACTAGATTATTGAAAAGGAAGAGCAGACCCCAAAGTGATCAAGAAGGAGAAGACACAGTGGAAGTCTACAGCCAGAGAAACTCTGTTACAGAAAAAAAATGTCTAGACTCACTGGAATCATGTAGAAGAATTTTTGGCACAGAACAGTTGTTTTATTTTGACATGGAGATAGCATATCTATTCTACAAACGATTTTGAAGATAAAATGTATTAGTAAATCTATGCCAAACAATTTCATTAGCAGTCTTGGGAATAAATTTTGCCACCCTCTTAACTACTAAGTTCTCAACAGCTGAAACATTAGAAATCATATAACCATGAATACTTGGGATAATTTCTTAATGAAATTATAGATTACAAATAGTAACAGAATCAACATGCCTGAAGACATAACTAAATCAGAGGGACCAGAAGGATCACGATGCACAGTTTAGCAGCTGCTGTTTATGCTGAGGGAAAGGAATACAAATTATTAATTTATTTATTACATACCAAGAAAATCTTTCCATTCCCAGATTCTAAAGGAATCATCAAAAAGCTTATGCTATCAGAATACCTACTTTTCCTGTTCCCAAACTGTATATTTTACTAGAGATAATTTGGTGAATATGATGATATCTCACTTGTTAACACCATAGTGAAAATTATTCCTTAAATAATGTAGAATACCATGATGCAATAGTTAGTAGTCATTTGCATTCATGCTAACTCAATTCATGAAACATTTCTCAGAAATCCATATTAATTCTATAATATTAGCCATAAGTGCATTTATAATTTATTTTGAATTTTCAAATTTTTTTCTTAATCTTTTAATATTTGTGACAATTTCATCCATGATTATTCAATTTACATTCTTTTCTTTTACTGCTTTTTTTGGAAATCTGACAATGTTTCTTTGAGGGCAGATGTAACGGGCATGATGTTTCCTGATAACATGACGTCATGAAGCCAATGTCCCAATGTCCCCCACTCCCACTCTTAGGAATCTCACAATAACAACAAGCTACTCAGCCATAACATATACACAGAGAACCTACATAAGACCCCATTCCACAAAGGCCCCCATATTTTTGGTCAATTGATTGTTTGGGCTGTGTTCCTGTGGTGTCCCTGACCACACTTGTTCTCATGTTCCCTTATCTGGAAGTATTATTTTAAATCCTAAAATCATATGAATTATAAAACTGGAGCATGTAACCTACCACATGAACAGAGTTTTGGTAACCTACCAAAACTGAACAGAGGGCAAATAAAAACCTAAGCAGGTCAATAGTGAGAAACATAGTTCAATATTCACTGAAAAAAATCTCAAGAAAAAAGCTTTGGTCCAGTGACATGATTGGATTCTATCTTTCTGAATATCTGGGAAAGGACCCCATGAAAACCCACTACCTCATTTTGCAACCTTACTGTTATGCCCTATTGATGAAGACTACACTCGTGTGTGTCAGCCAACACGGAGAAGTTGAGCTGGTGTATAACTAGAAGCTTCACCACTGACTGACGTTCATGATACAGGAATGTACTCTGCATGTTACTGGAGCAGAAAGATAATCATCAATATCATCCAGCTAAAACCCTAGGACAACAGTGACCCATCTGCAAAGTGGACTGGTACAATAGTGGCACAAATACTATGGCAGCAACCACTTTTTGATTGGATTGAAGGCCACTCCAGGAGATGGAAGCCATAGCTGACACTGATAAAGGGGCCAAGAAACTGAAAAGGTCATTTAGGGGCCTAGGGGGAAACCAGATACTGTTATTCTGCTAAAGGACACAGTGATAAAATGACCCTTAATGATATATGGCTATATCTAGATGTATATGAATGTATGTATGTATGTATGTATGTATGTATGCAAATATATGTATATATGTATGTCTCAAACAGCCTGTTCCAGTGTAGCCCATTCTTGAAGGTGATGGAATTAACACTGAGACTCACAACAATGTAGACAGTGTGTGAGACTTTGGGATATGCAGTCCTAAATGGGATGGATTCATGAAAATCTTCCCTCGAGGTTGAGGGAGCTATTCAGAGGAGGAGATAGAAAGACACTAAGAGCCAGAGGTAGTAGATGATGCCAAGGAAACAAAGAAACCCTGTATTCCACATATAACACGACTGAGGAACACATGGATTCAGAGACTGTAGCAATACACAAAAGTATACAAAGGTTCAAGCAGATGGAGGTTCTTGCACTGAAAAGAGGAAGGGGACACAGGGTTCCAACCTTAACCAAGAAGACATCTGCAATTGTTTCCTGATGTTAAAGGAAGAGTAAGTTATCTCCAGTGGTTTCTCACTGGGTATCCTCACTACTCCTCTTGGTAGAATCCTTGCAATAACTTAATGTCAAACTCAAAATGAACCAATAAATTTTGGTACAAAATTGGGGCTCACTGTTCTTCCTTTAAGCATCTTATAGGTCTTGAATGCTTATTCTGGTTGTTTTTATTTTTTGGTCTCTTGTTTTATTTATTTTTTAACTGAAAAAGAGATAAATCATATCTGTAAGTGGGGGGGGAGCTGAGGAGGGTCAGGGAGGAATAGAGCAGGGAGGAGTGAATAGTCAAAATACATTAGTATAAAAAGATTTCCAGTGATGAAATATCAATAAAATAAAAGACTGATATGAATGTATTCATATATAAATTCTACCCAACTTTGAAAAAATTAACACTAATGTTCCTCCAAGTATCCAGTAAGGGTGAAGGAGACACTTTACAGCATGTTCTACACAGTCTGCAGCAGCCACTGCCAGACCTGCTGACGTCAGCGTCCTCCCTTATCCCCCAGTTGGGAAAACAGCACCTAGAGCCACAAGTTTCCCTCTGAACTCCATGTGTCTGGGTTGTAACACAAACTGATGAACATACACAGCAAAATAAATACTGTAAAATAACCCTAAGTGTAAAATGAACAGGAGGTGTAAGGGAAGAGTTTATGTACCTATATACGACAATCCTTAATGAAAGAAACTGAAACCTTCTAGCAAGGTCAACAACACAGAAACAAGGACAAGTTCGTGCTCAAAATGAGTTCATCACTTAATAGCAGAAGAACAATTCTAATATAAATTTTGACAAATAAAACATATAAAGAGGATACAGAACAGAAAGTCCATAGTTCCAAGAATGAAATTTATTTTTTTTCCAGAAAACAGTTGCAAATGAAGATGACTTTGTTATGTATGACTTGCCAGTCTCCAAAGGTAAATTTGAGGTAACATAAGACAGGCCAGGGGGGACATAGAATAGGACAGTAGTCTCCCTGGGACTGTCCACAGTGTTCTGGGAAGGAGCCTGGGTGTCTCAGTCACCACAGATTCTTTAGACAAACAGTGATGCTCAGAGTCCTAGGTGGTTCAGGATCCCGGCCTGGACTCCTGACTAACCACAATTAGGAACAAGGGCTGATGGCCTAATCCACACTCCAAAGTGGTTTTGACATAAATAAATAAATAAATAAATAAACAAACAAACAAACAAATAACATTGTGGGTCCCATGAAAGCAAAAGTCTTGATAGACAGCAGTCAATCAGGACGTACCTGGTGTTGCTTGAGTAGATGAGAAACTCCTCTTCCAAGTCCGGGCCACACTGCATTGTCTGTGAGCACTGCCTCTGCCCCTGGTGTCCTCCAACTGAAAGTCCCGCCTTCAACAGCACATAACTGTCACCAACTGACTCTTAGCCACATTCCTCGTGCTGTGGTTCTGATCTGCCACCTGATTGGTGATACTTACAGAAATGAGCCAATCAGATTGGGTAACTAATCACAACTTCCTCATTGGTCAGGTTGCAGTCATGTGACTCATGTCTGCTCTATCCTGATTTCAGGCTGACCTGGACTGCAGCTGGGGTCCTGTGAGAGCAGGGTTAGAGTAGAAGTTTTGCTTGTTCTCTGCCTTTTGTGCAAAGACATCCCAGCCGGGCTGCATCTCCCCTCACTTCTTCTATTCCAGGGTCTCCTTACTGTATGAGAACAGACTTGGTTTCTGAAGGTCGGATTAAGGTTCAGTCTCTGTTTCTAGTTTATCCTGAGTTAAAGGGTCATTGGTCGATATCTGTACACTGTTGACTTGGAATCACACCTAAATGGAGCATCAACGAGCTGTGGAGAACTCCTATCTTCAAAGAGCTAATACTCTGAAACAAAAAGGCAGGCTCTTTTATGAATCCAACATCCATGCTGGGCAGTTATGACACAGACCTTGAATTCCAGTACTCAGCAGGCAGAGAAAGTTGCCTGGTCTAGAGAGCCAGTGCCAGGACAGTCTCCAATAGGTACAGAGAAACCTTGCCTTGAAAAACCAAATCATCATCATCATCATCATCATCACCCAATATCCACATATTGAGCAAATGTTGACCTTTCCCTAGGGGCCTCTCTCTTCTTTAAAGCCAGTGCTGAGGGCTATGTTAAATCCTTTACTTTGTGAACTCAAAAGTTACATCATTAACTCCTCATGGCTTATCATTCCTGTTTCTGCTTCAATAACCTAAAATTAAAATAATACAAATCATGACCAAAACCATGGTTTTCTTCACCAATTTTTACTATTCCTTGTACTACATTGTGATAGGTCATTTTAATCCATTATGTATTTCTCAGTTGAAACAACTTCCAAAAATTATTCCACTTGTGTTTTTTCCTTTACTTTGGGAAAACATTTTCAATCACTTGGTGAACTTGTCCTCAAATTTCCAGATGCAGTTTTCACATTTTCTCAGTATTGCTGCCCAAACAGGAACTAGTTCCTTTAAGGTCTATTGAGAACTTCACATATGAAGACTGTATCTAAATATCTTCCACCAAGCCCATTCCCCTTTGTGCCTCAATTTACCTCATGTACTTCTCTTCAAATTATGATCACTCTACTGAGCAACAAGCATGTGTATGTGTGGTTTGTGCACATACTTAAACACATGTGTTTCTAACCTACTGAGTCCAATTACCCTTGATCATTTCTCCCTGTGTCCATATTGGACCAATGGGGACTGAACAACCTATGTGGGATCTTGTCCCTGTAGGAAATGCATTCCCCCTTTCATAGGTAATGACAACTGGTAGTTCTTCTTCTAGTGCTTTTCCATGTGGGATAGCCCTGTCCACATTTGCATGTGAACTGCTGTTGTCAGGTATCTATTGTACATGTAACCACATTATTGAGAGGCCGGGTTTACATGTCCCGTAGAATACACAACTGAAGATCCGTCCGTGTAGATTCAGCACGGCATAGTCACTTCTCTGCAGGTTAAGTCTCATATTTAAAAAGAAACTGCTTTGCTGAGGGCCAGTTGCTGCACTTCTCTGTGGGTACAAGGTTATGCATTTGGAACACGGTTAGACATCACATTGGTTTTAAAAAATGGAAGTAGTGGTTCTCTTCTACTCTCTGGTCCATGACGTCTTCTGTGGAGGAGCAAAAACACGAGTCTATTTTCACCTTGTCTGAAGGGCAAAGAATCAGTTTGCTCAAAGTTGTTGACAACAACTATGATTGCACACCCTGGCCTAGGGTGTGGTTACTTGGTGTTTTGGACACTAAGATGGCCCGCAGAGGTAGATCCTCTCCACCCTGACCAATGGTCAGATAGTTGGAACTTACTTCTGTTTCTTCGAGGTTATTGTCTATTTCTACCTCAAACAGAGATGCCACCTTGATTTAGACCAGAGAGTTTTGTGCTCTCTCAAGGTTATTGTCAACAGGTGTGGCTAATATCCAGACCTTGTGTTTCAGGTATAGAGAAGTAGATCTCTTTCTACCTCTAACAAAAGTCTAAGGATCCAACTAAGATCCTACTTCAAAAGGGAGATAACAATTGATTTCACCCAGGGAGTGGTTTGCCTACAGAATGTTTTGGTCTAGGGTTTGAGCTTTACTTGCCTAGTTCTGGCAACAGAATTTAGGCCACAATACTTCAATTGTCATCACAAAGAAGGAAGATCAGAGTAGTTGCTCCAAGCATTTATCTAAATAGCCTAGAGTCTGCTGGTAAGCAAGGTAGTGCAGATTTGTACTTGAGCAGTCACTATACAATGAGGGTTACTTCCTCTTTGGACAGATGCCCAGGTTTGTTTCTTGCAGTCTTGACTCTTCTGGTTGAGGCTGAGGCTAACCACAATGACAGCAGAGCTTTCTGGATTGCTTACTGCTGAAGATCAGGTACTTTTGACACAGTAGAATTTGAGCCTCTGCACTTGCCATACTCCAGAATTGTTTTTCTGCTTCCTCTCAATGTACTTTTGAACTCACTGAATTCCAGGGCAGTCGAGCCTTGGGATTACTAACAGCTAGAGCTTGAAGGTAAGAACACAGTTTATCTTAAATGCTTGACCTAAGTTATTGGTGCATATTCTCAGTTTTCAGGCGTGCATGCTGATGTAGAAGTAGGTTAGCCCAAGCCAGAAAAATCCTAAGTTCTAAGAAACCTGAGAAAAATAATAAAAGGCATAAGAAACCAGCACCAACTGTACTCGAATTAGAAATTCATGCACTCTTGTTCCCATAATATCACCTCCCTTATGCATCTTGATCTTCAAGCCCCCACTGACCACCCCATTCCTGTCAGCCTCTCCTCTTGCCAGCCAACTGGAGTTTTCTGGCTAGGACTGTCTCTTCTCCTCACAGGGCCCTCCTTTAGCCACAGCCTTTAGGCACCACTCAAGCTGGGTCTATAAAAGGGACTTGACCAGATTTCCATCTCAAGATGGTTACTTCCATAAGCAAGCAGCCATAGGACCGTAGCCACAGACCTATAAAATTTATAAGCAGTGGAAGATTTACTGAGGGCAAGGTGGAGGATTTCTTGGAGTCTGAGGCCTGTCTGGAGGACAGCATGAGATCCTGTCTTAGAAAACGAAGCAAAAAAGGCTAACTGAATGGAAAAGAGCAGTAATTCCTGCTCACAGAGATTGTTTCACAAAGGAGGCCACACTGACCCAGCCTGGCAGGATGATGAAAAAGTAGCTGCCTGGGAACATTTGTTTATCTGCCCAATTCTAAAACTATCAGGGGTCATAGCTCGTGCAAACTATAAGAAGAGCCCAAAGGGAGGGTGACAATGTCTAGAAATTTCTATGGGGACTAATAGCATTGTTCCCTCTCCAGCACCACCCTCTCTCCCCACTCTTCTGCACCTCCTTCTTCCCAGGTTCCACCAGCTTCTACTATGTGGGGCCCAACACAGCAGGTGGGGACACAATGCACTAAGACATCAAGTATTTTAATCCTCCACCACTCCTTGGTAGCAGGAGCAGATTCTGATGGCTGTCTTTCTCCCACAGCCCTGCATGCTGTGGCCATCAGACCACCTGTGTGCCTCTTGCTGTCCCATATGGTTCTCAGAAGTAGAAATACCAGCATTAGATAAACCTAAGCTGCCAGACCCAGACTGGGGAGAGAATCAGCTGTTCCCCTGTATTCACTGTTGCTGCCCAGCAACAGGAGAGAAGTTTGGATTACACACTAACTACAAGTCTGGAAGCAGATCCAAATCTGAGAATCTGATTTCTATTGAGTGGCTGTGGCTTTTATATCATCCTAAAATCAAACATTCAGGAATCCCTCCCCTGCTCCAAATTTTCCATACTGGGAATGGTGCACACTGGACAAACCTCTATTACTGAACTATACCTTAGGCTTCACCTGGCTATTCACAGTTTCATAGCCTCACCCAGCCCCTCAGCTCTACCTGTCCAGTCCACAAAGCTGCTACAGTGCTGGTGGTCTCTGCTGACTGAAGGGTTGCAAGTTCTAATAATCTGTGTAGCACCTCGAGGTCGTGGCTTACCGGGAAGATTCTAACCTATGTCCATCTTAGGCCAGACCTTCATGGTGACTATGTGCCTCTGCTTTCTTTCTCCCACAATTCTGTTCTGTCTTCTCCGCCTATCTAAGCTGCTGTCCTATCAAAGGCCAAGACAGTCTCTTTATTAACCAATGAAACTAACACATAGACAGATGACCCTCCTACATCATTAAGTCATCGCCTCCAGGCTATAACTGTAAACACTACTAAATACAGTGTAGACCAGCTCTCTTTGATATCTGTAGGATAAAACACACTCATTAAGATCTTTACAACGTTTATCTATCTTTTTATCCATGCCCATTTCCACGCACCCCAGACTAATGCTCTAAGCCACGATAGAATATAGCCGATGCTTAAGAACATTAAACTACACAAGACAAACCATTCACAAAAGGACAAAATCGATTTGCTCATCTAAAGCACCTAGAATTCGAGGCAACAGAAAGGGAAGTGGTGGTAGCCAGGGACCATGGATTTAGCACTAATGGGCCCCTAGTTTCCATCTAGGAAAGTGAAAAGTTGTCTGGAGATGGAGGGTGATGATGGACGTGCACTGGTGGGAATATCACTAATGCCACAGAGCCATGTGCTTAGGGCTAAGAGTCCCTTTCATAAGAGCATACAGCAGTGTATGCTTCTCACAGCATTTTAAAAATTCCATTCTGTTCTTTTCTCACAGGTCCTGGACCCTCCACCCTGAGACACTATGGCCCTGACCCCAGAATTGAGCAAACAAGCAAAACGGAAAGAGATAGCAGGGATCCTCCTGGGAGATGCAACTGTGGACAACTGGAACCAGATTCAGGCCTTCAAGGCCAAGCCAGATGACCTCCTCATTT